AGCTCGCAAGACGGGTTAGGAGAAGACGACTCGAAAAATTTGATTCAACAGCTATGAAGCTGTAGAAACTATTGCTCGACTTTGACCAGCTCGCAAGACAGGTTGGGATAAGATGACTGAAAAATTTGATTCAACAGCTACGAAGCTGTAGAAACTATTGCTCGACTTCGACCAACTCGCAAGAAGGGTGGGAGAAGACGACTCGAAAAATTTGATTCAACAGCTATGAAGCTGTCGACATTATTGCTCGACTTCGACCAGCTCGCAAGAAGGGTTGGGAGAAGACAGTAAGACGAAATAAAGAACCAAGCAATTAAATGAAAAACTACAGCTACGAGAAAACGACAAAATATAGAAGCAGCGTAATAAACATTATATTAGAAGGAAATTCGTTACATCCAAAACCATCTCAACCTTCACATTAAAAAATAGGCTGAGATGGCAAAAAAGAGAGAGCACAAAAAGAAATACAAATACTACTACAACTAAAAAAAAAAAAAAAAATCTAAGCCTTCTGGGAGTCGGCTGTCGACTTCTCAGCGGCATCCCCGCCTTCATCGCCAATCGGCTCGGTCCCAGCGCCTTCCCCTTCCCCACAAACGACGCCAAAATGATGGGTCTTCCCAGATCTAGAGTGAACCGGTGAAAACGGGCCCGAATCTAGAACGAACCGATGAGAATGGGCTTAGATTTGTCGTCTCACCGCTACTGAAAAGATTCTGACTTATCCAATCAGTTCGAAATTTGTTGAGTAGACAAGTCGCTGTGCGAGTCGAAATATCAAGCGGGCGTGACTTAGAGCAACGACAGGCGACATGATATGAGAAATGATTCGAGTGAGACATTCAATCATCAAAACTTACTCTTAAGCTCAGAATCGCTTCGACTAATTTTGGGGGGGACTAGATGATATAGCCATACTATCGTATAACGGTTTATACTATCCGATTCAGAGATTACCGAGTCGACTTAGCCAAAGTCGACTCTCTCCTCAGAATCCCTATAATATCTCCGATCAGGGGTCCGGGCATCTCTCGGTCGACTTCCACGTGTCGACTCGAATAAGTCGATTTCCCCGGAAAGACAGATAAGCGCATTAGGGTACCGACGACTGAAGATGACTCAGTCAACTCGAGTAGATATCCCGAGTCGACTGAGGAAGTCTCGAGGCTCATAGATCCCCGACGATCCGATACACTTCGATATATCATAGAAAAGTTGTCAAAGATAAGAAGGAAGCTGCTAAGGATAAGAAGGAATCTAAGTGCTGACTAGGAGAAGGACGGAATGCGAACCGACCAGTGTATTTTGGACATTTCTAGTAAGTCGGCCAGGGCATTTTGGGAACTTCAGGTAAATGTCTTGCTTCTGTATAAAGGAGCTGTGGTAACCCCAAAACCCCAACTCCCATTCGTTCCATACTCTCCTCCATTACTGCTGCTCTCTCAGAGCAGCTCCCTTCATCTCTCTCTCACATACTGACTTGAGCGTCGGAGGCTCTACGTCAGAAACCCCTCCGGCGTTGAGTTCTTGCAGGTTTTCTTGCGGTCCAGTAGCGGTGAAGACGACAGATCTAAGCCCATTCTCATCGGTTCGTTCTAGATCCGAGCCCGTTTTCACCGGTTCGCTCCAGATCTGGGAAGAGACCCATCAGTGCCGATCTCAAAGGGTAATCATAGAAAGCCGAGAGCGGGGCAGATCTGGGTTTCCTCAAGTGACGACCTCAGAGGGGACGCCGCGGGCCTCACCTTTGAACTCGGGGGCCTGAATGTTGATATCCAGATCAACCCGACCTAGAATTAACGAACCAGTCCGAGAAACCGGGCGGAGCTAAACTCTCGGTCGGGGATCGAGTCACACAATGGTAAGAAGTGCCGAGCTGGACGAGGGTGAAATATGGTCACGACGGTCTCTCGAGCATCGAGCGAGACCGGCACTTGACACGTGCGGCACCGACCTGACAAAGGGCCGAGTAAGAAAGATCGTCCGAGGGTCCTAGAAGAGCCTGACGGATTCGGGTGCCGACCTGGATGGTCAGTCGGATGTTTCTGAAGGGAGATACAAGTTCGAAAGAATATGATATTGCAAGTGGCTGGGTAATGATTGCTGATGGGACAGGCCGACCTAGTCTACCCTCCTTAGGGGACCTAGCCTAGCATAAAAGCTGATAGCATTAAATGCTGCCCATATGAGCATTAAATGCCAAGTAAGAAATGATTGGAAGATCTCAAATCACATTTAATGATCCGTTTGAAAAGCGCCGACCAGGACTGCGGGTTCACTGTGCGACAAGACAGTGAACAGTGTCGAAACTGTAGACTTAAATGATACTATAAGTAGCTCATTGTTTCATTTATTTTGGGTTAATGAATCTCAACTAACTCTGTCTTCTCTCTACTTTCTCTCTCTAAAACTGTAAGAATTATCTTGTAGGAATTGTAAGTATATCACAAGTGCCGACCTCGTACGAGAGGCCGACCTCGTGATCGTTTAATAAAACCGTAATTAAGCTATATCTTTTCCTTGTTTCAAGTCCTGCACTTCGTTATTTTACTATTTTAACCGTTGACCGAAAACGCTCGTCAACAAATAGGTTATCTATTTGTATGCCCAACTCCTTTGCCATCATCCGAACAACGAGGATCGTACCAGATAATTGTCAGGAAAAACGACTATGTAAACGTTTCAGGACTTGAATGTGAAATCAGAAGCGAGGGCTTCATAAGGCGGGGCCCAGCCGAAGACCCTTTTCCTAAAATTTATTTTATTCCTTCGACTTCGGCTATGACCAATGCCCTACGACTAAAAAGAGCAATAGCAGGGCTTGTCCGGGCAAGGGATGCAGGTGCATTATATGAACGGAAATTAACCGGCCGAGTTATTCATATTCCCCGCTAGTCTAGATTATTGGATAGGTACAGAAGGGGTTGCACGTCAAGAGCTGATACGACCGAGCCTACTCTTTGTAAAGAGCGAAAAGCCTATAAGATAAGGAAGTCATGAGACCTAGGATCGTTGGTGAGGAACATTATGAAACTGCGCACGAAGTAGCTCGCCTCTCTTAGTAAGGCAGGTGCACTATTTTAATATACACACTAACAACTAACCATATCTTCAATTTTAAATTAACTAAACCAAACCAAAAAATCCAACCGTTACGCAAAATTTATATCCAACCATCTTTTTAAAATGGCCTAATTACCGGTAAAATCATGACCTTACAACATTTTGCCGTTTTAACCAATCTTTTGCAATTTAGCAAACATAACATAACGTTGTCCATTTTTGGCAATTTGAATCACCGGGCCGAATTTCGGGCTTTGTCTGCAGTGGCGATAAAAATATAAGCGGCGCTGGGGTTCGAACTTAGGACCTCAAGGTTGTATGATAACATTGGAACCACTAGACCAACCCAAATTGTTTGTTAAATGTAATAGCATTTAATATATATATAGTTGTTGTATGAATAAATCAAATCAAATTTAAAATATAATGTATATTATATTAATAAGATAAGTTATTTTATATTAGAGTAAATTAAAATTAAATTAAATTAAATTAAATTTATATATTTCATATTTATTAAAATAGATTAAAATAAATACAAGTTTGAGGTACCAAGTTCGAACCCCAGTGTTGCATAATTTTATTTTTACTTGTGATGCATAAAGCCCGAAATTCGGCCCGGTGATTCCAATTGCCAAAAATAGACAAGATTATGTTATGTTTGTTAAATTCTAAAAATTTAGTTAAAACGACAAAATGTTGTAAGGTCATGATTTTTCCGGCAATTAGGCCTTTTAAAATTAGCTAAACCACACCAAAAATCCAACTAACACCCAAAATTTTTATATCCAAATATGCTCTACATTTTGTAAGAAATAAAAGGGAAAAGAAAAACTGATAATTGCTGCCTTATCGTCTTCCATATGATTTGGATAGCCAATATATATGTAAATCCCACCCCTTCCATCACAAAAATCACCTCACAAGCGCACAACAATGGCGTCTGCTACTGCACCCTCCACGCTCAGCCTCCCGCCACCGCACCACCAAGATCTCCATCGCCCCTCCGCCGCCACCTTCTCCCTATGCTTCAGGAAGCCCTCGAAAGAGAACCCTTTCTACTTCTCCTCGCTCAAAACGTTCTTCTATCCCTTGGTTCTACAGTCCGACAATACCCGCTCGTCGAAATCGCTCGTCGATGCCGCGTTGGCTACCGAGACGGAGTTGGATGAGGAGGCCGCTGAGCAGCAGCTAGATGATAGCGGAGCTGTTGCTGTCGTTACGAAGCCTAAAAAAGGCAAAGCTGCTTTGCCTTTGAAGAGGGATAGGGTATGTGTATCGAGAACAATTTGTAGCTTCTGTAAAAATTTAATTTGTGTTCATGAATATGTTTCTTCAGTAATATGATGGTGGGGTTTTGTTTGATTTATAACATCTAACTTGTAAGTTCATAATTTGGATGTTGAGTGATACACATATTGTAATCTCAAACTACACTATCATCGGCTGGATCATTCTGTCAGATGTTTGGGAGACATCCTTTTTATTGTTATTTTTTTGTATGGTTTAGTTTTGTGATTGGAGGAATGCGACCTTTTGCTTCACAGGTTCGGGCTTCCTAAATGAAATAATACAACGATTGTAAGCATGTTCGTGATTTTCTTTCGTTTTCTTGGTTGGGACAAACATTTTTCTTGTGGTAAAGATTTTTTCTTGGAATGCTTTCCTGTGTTATCTCGGATATTCAATGCAAAGTTTGCTGTAGAGTTATGTTGGGATGGTTTATTTACAATTGATTGCAATACTCCCACAAGCTAATGTTCTGGCTACTGTTCTAAATCCAAGAGTTTGTAGCTCAGCTTGGTGTAATCATTTCCCTGTGTCATTTGAATGCTTCCAAAGCATAAGATAGCTTCTACTAATATAATCTTCAGCCTGCCGAAATTTTGACTGCATGACTCCCCTTATTTCAGCTTGTCTTTGGTCAAAAAATTTGATGTTCCTTTTTATGTTGCATCTGACAGACAAGGTCCAAGAGATTTTTGGAAATTCAAAAGTTGAGAGAAAACAACCAGGAATATGACCTGAATACAGCAATATCATTGCTCAAGCAAATGGCAAGCACAAAATTTGTTGAAACGGCTGAGGCCCATTTCCGCCTCAATATTGACCCAAAATATAATGATCAACAACTAAGGGCAACTGTGAGCTTTCTCAATATCACTTGATTTACTGGGAAGAGGGTTTTTTTTCCATCTATTGTCGCTTGATACAGGCTGATGCCATATCATATTCATAGGTAAATCTGCCCAAAGGAACTGGTCAGAGTATTAAAGTTGCTGTTCTCACACAAGGTACACTGGACATTTGCCCTGTTGAGTGGATTGCAGTACATTTAAATTTGAGTTTATTTGTTCCAGAATCCATTTCTGCTGCATCAAAGATTTCTTTTATTTGAACGTTTGCCGACAATGGGTCGTGATGCATTTATCTGCATTTATTGCTATTGTGCCTCATCTTTCTTTGCTGAATCCAGTGTCTACATTTGATCTGAATTTATTGCTATTGTGCCTCTCTTTTCAATACGCATGTACTAGTATTTTACCGCATAGAATGGAGACTGAACTCTCTTAATGAATTAAGTTTGCCATTGGTGAATTGTGTTTATTTTTTATCATATTATTTATAGAACTTAATACACTTGAAGCATTCCTGCATTCTAAGTCAGCTCAATATCTTTGGGTCAATTATCTATATATATATTTGAAGTTCTATAGTATGTATTTTCCCTTTTTCTTTCTTCTGATGTTTTTTGTTGTATGTGAGGTTTATATGGATCTGTCAAAATTTTGAAGTGTGGAACAGGGTTATCATCCACTTTTCTGTATATAAATGTGTAAATATTGTACCTTCCCCTCAACCAAATTGCTGTTACGGAATTATAATCATCTCATCTGATTTGTTTATTGTTGTGGTTATCTTAAATTCTGGATTTACCTTTTCTGGTGGCCTTTCTTTCATGCATTTGTTTTCTCCTGCAGGTGAAAAATTCGACGAGGCAAAAAATGCAGGAGCTGATATAGTTGGTGGAGAAGACTTGATTGAACAGATCAAAGGAGGATTCATGGATTTTGATAAATTGATTGCAACATCCGATATGATGCCTAAGGTAAATACCTTGCTTGAAACTCTGCTATTACATAGCTGGACTGTATTTGTAACTTTGTTCGTCTAGGTTGCACCAAACCAATAAACTAAGCATCTTTTCTGGATGACTAGTAGATAAGACCCCTGTTATTACTGCTAGTAGTTCTGTTGCATCTAACTGTTGCTTTCTAAGAAGGAAAGAAAATATGCTGATAGCTAATTAACTACGGTAATTTTGGCATCCTAGCTGATTTTCAGTTTTTTGGTTTCTTGGCTTTTAGTTTTTTATGTTTTTTTCCCTTTACTAGTTAGATCCTCACATACGCAAATTCTATTTTCTATGTATTAGGTTGCAAGTTTGGGAAAAATTCTAGGACCTCGAGGACTAATGCCAAATCCTAAAGCCGGTACAGTGACTACAAACATAGCACAGGTAGAGTCTCACAGTTTCTATCAGTTCAATTATTGTAGACTGTCAAATTTGATTATGTATATTACTCTCATGGAATATATTGTATAATGCAAACTTTGTTGATCAGAGCTGACAAATAATCAGTAGAGGATTACTTTACACACACACACACACACACACAAAAAAATTTTTTAGAAGTGGTTGAATATCACCTGCAGGCTATAGGGGAATTCAAGAAAGGGAAAGTTGAATACCGAGCAGATAAAACTGGGATTGTTCACATACCTTTTGGGAAGGCCGATTTTTCAGAGGAAGATCTTCTTGCAAACTTTCTTGCTGCAGTGGTGAGCTGTGCTATGTCTCATTGTCAAATTTACTCGTCTTCTTCTTGTTATTAAGTAATGATCTATGCTTAAACTTTTAACTCGATTATCGAAACACTTGCAGAAATCAGTAGAAGCTAACAGGCCAAAAGGAGCAAAAGGTGTTTTCTGGAGAAGGGCCCACATATGCTCATCAATGGGGCCTTCCATTCGGTTGAACATTAGGGATATGCTCGACTACAATCTCCCTTGAAATGGTTCTCTATATTGTCGTAATTGTAAAATCTTTTTTTGAGTTGAATTAACCTCGTGTTGTCTCTCAGAGCTGTTAATTTCCAGACAGTGGTAAGAGTAGGGACAGAGACTAAGAACAGAGTTACGGGATACGCTTTTTGTTCAGGAGAATTTCTTCTTTAATTAAATATTTATTGGAATCTCCA